TTATGCTGCCTTCACGTGCTATCGGAAATGTCCTATTTCCCACTTGTGAAGTCGTGATTACGAGCTTGTCGTATTCAAGTAATGTCGGAAAGAATAAAATGTAGCATCCCATTGGTTGACGATCATAAACATTCACCACGCTACACATGCAGTTTGCTGACAATTCTGGAATTTCGGTCAAATACATGCTTATAAAACATATGCTTTGAATGATCGTTCATATCTAGCCAATAAATACACTACTTTAGCGACAAGACAAAGGGATTTAGTTGTTGCGAGAACAGCATTGACAGCAGCAATGGTTGTCCCCTCCACCATGTTTAAAGATTATGACCCGCCCAACTCAGAAACTCTGGTATCAAAATTATTTCAGAATTTCCCAGTAGTAAATACGACTTGAGAGGCGTTCAGGTCTAATTTCCGATTAGGAAACTTGTATTTACGATAATTCTGATAGCATGTGAAGACAGCATTAGCCTGGCATCGTGGTAACATCAAAATCTGTTGGAAACAATTCAGTCAAGTTTCCCTGTGCACTTCAGGAGCAATATTTTGTGCTGCACAAATAGCTTTCTGTGTAGAGCTTTCTGTCACTTTTGAAACCTTGGTTTGGATGCAACCTTAGAGCACGGGTAGTCAACCCTGCTCCTGGAGGACTACCTTCCTAACTGTGGTTTTCAAGGAATCCTAAATACCTTGATTAGCTGGTTCAGGTGTGTGTGATTAGGGTTGGAGCCAAACTCTGCAGAATGGTAGCCATCCAGTAGCTGGGTTGGCTTAGGCCACATCCACGCAAAGCCTGAGCTTTCGCTATCTGATGTTTTTTTCCTCATTCTAAATAAATTCTTTAAACACGGCGTTGTATCAAGTAATATCTGCATACACACGAAACCACTGAAACCGACTCAAAACAATGTATACATGCCAGACCAGTATGTGGCGCTGTATTTCTGCCACAGAGATACACTAAAAATGGAGAAGACTTGGAACGTGCATAAACCTTGCATGCTGTATACAAACCCAACACAACAACACACAAGATTTTGCTTTAATAAAGCTAATAGGCTCAGTAGCTTCTGCAGCACGAACACACGCATGTAGTCCGCCATTGTTGTTGCAGTTACGTGACATAGTAATAGGCTTGTTTGAGATGAGCAAAATTTGCGCAGAACCAATCACCGGTGATTACCGCGAGATGCATGCCGGTTAGAAAAGTGTCCGCGAGATATGTGATTGTTGTCATATTTCTATAAAAATCTAAAATACATGTTTGTATTAAAGTAAAAATGAATGATAAATACGCCTTTCATATGGAATTAAGTAGCAAGCACTTTGAGTGTCTTGTTCATCTTATTTATTTTTATATAAAAGGCAATAGAACTGAAATTATATCATGTTAATCATGCAGCAGCACAGCACATGAGTGAGAATAACACAATATCTGTCTTTAATCTCGTTGGTATCTGTTCACTTCGAGAGGTCAGAACTGTCCGTCTTGACTGCGCTTATTTCACTCCTCCCCTCACTGCAGCCGCCTACTCTCGCCTACATTTCAGGCGAGGCACATCCCAAACAAGCCTAGTGTCTGACTAGGGTTGAGACGTGGGGTGATGACATCATTGTTGCACAAAATATATGGATTGGCTGTACACACAAAAAGTAAAGGTGGCATTTTCAGATTTATCCACTCTGGGACCCGGTTTCAAAAAACAGCGGTTTCAGGCTCCCAAAACACCAGATCCGTCTGGGCAAAACACCGATACGATACAAAATGTTTAAGTATACAGCTAAACGTGACTGTGTGGATGGGCCCTTAGAGAATAGCTGCCTATTTTAGGCTGTAGACTTGGTTCTCAACTCCAGTCCTGGGGATTCACTGCTGTGCACATTTTGTATGTCTTGCTTATTTAACACAACTGATTCAGATAATCAGCTCGTTAGGAGAGAGCTAGACGAACTGAACTGAGTGTTCCAGATAAGAGACATACAAAATGTGCAGAGCAGTCGGTCCCCAGGACCAGGATTGAGAACCACTGAACTAGGGGTGTCCAAACCTGCTCCTGAAGGTCCAACGTCCTGCAGAGTTTAGCTCCAACCAGCTCTCACACACTTGACTGGACGTTTCTATTTAGTCTGAAGACCTCGATTAGCTGGTTCAGGTTCAACTTCAGGAACAGGATTGGACACCACTGCAGTAGACAGAAATTAGGCTCACTAGGTCATTGGTTCTCATTGTTGGTCATTGGCCATTCCGGTCCCGGCGATCCACTGCTCTGCACATATTTGGTGCTTCTCAAATGGAAAACTGCATCCTCCAAAGGCTGCATATCTCAGCTGCCACGTCATCAAACATCCCTGAAGGCCTTAAGGGTCAAGATCATGTTATCTGCATCTCCTGCACTCCATCAAGCCACTCCCATAATATCTGTCATCAAGACTTGAATACAATTATGAAGTAATCATTTTATGGCGAATAAATCTCTCAGTGAGTAAAACTGGCTGTGTCTATAGTATTAAAGACTAACATTATTATATTATCTTTAAATTAATTTTTAAATGATTATTATTTTAAATTTTTGTCCCTGTATTAGTAGGGCACTCTTGTAATAAAGTAGCGTTGGTAACGGACAGATTTTAAGTATCAATTCTGCTTAAAAAGATGCCATCTAATCCTGTTTACATGAAATAAGCCTGT